TAACCCATTTGTTAATGCACCTTGAAAACTATTGAAAATGTAGAAAACCCAAGTATTAACATAACACATTACAGCCAAGTGTAAATAATCACATAATAACATTCTCTCAACAGAACTTACTTAAATTAATCTCGGTCAACAACAGAAATAATTTTCTAAAGGCCTTCCATCTCATTTTACACTAAAAGAATTGCAAAAAGTAATAAATGAATGCATTTTGTTGTTTTTTTTCCTTTTTGAAGAAAAAATAACTTGGGAAAGGAAGTTTAGGAAAGTGGAACACAGTTTCAAATACCTTTGCATATAGACTTTGGGGGATTTTTGTACAAAGCTACAAAAGAGATAGTAGGACAATGCTGTCCCTAATTTTGAGCTTATAGACTAGAAATAAAGCAGCTAGTCCAAAGCACTCATTTCCAACACTTGGGCTATCCTTGTCTGACCAAATAGTGGGATTTGACTATGCCTCTTATAGCATATCCATGGCCCAAAAGTAGTGCAATGCAAACCATGAATCTTCAGTTTCACAATCCAGGCACGTTAACCACTAACTCATATCTGATCTTTAGAAATCTATTGCCCAGAAGTACATAACACACAGTAATAAACCTCAGACAGTAATTTAACAGAAAAGTCAAGGTTAGACCTAATGTCAGAAATTAAATGTTCAACCTAAAAAGATCCTAGCAATAATATTAAAATTTTCATTATAGATTAGTGTTAAAACTTGAAATTTATTAAATTAGATATTACTTCTGTCATTAGACATATTTTTACAGTATTCTGTCGTTTAAACTACTCAAAAGACAATTTTATACTAACTGAAATGGACACTTTTCAATTGATCAGTAAAACAGATCTATTATTAAAGTTTCTTTGACTATTCAGGGGCAGATCCTCAGGATGGAGGTTGCATTAGACACGAGATGAATAAGAAGTAAGCTACTGCATGCAATTTCTGTAGGAAGTTCACCACCTATTCCAATTTCGATTATATTTAATGCAACTAAAATTCATGAAAATTCCCCATCTTTCCTTGACTTTCCAGAAATTCCATGACCCATACAAACCCTGCCACACATGCAGTTAATAATATTAATATTACAGTGTCTGATACAAAGTAGTTGTACAGTCCGCTTCCCTGATATTAAAAAAAATCTATTCGATAGTTTGGTGTTTCATCACCCTTACTAAGTTTTTATTACTACTTAAATCAATATTTATCAAATATGAACACATAAAAAGGTAAGATTATTGCAAAGCAAGACAATTTTAATGCACTTTTAAAAACAGTTGAATACAAAGTAGAAGTAATTGATTTACATCCTTTAAAAACCTTAAAAGACTTGAAATATACTTTTACATACATTATAACCAGAATGCAATTATTTTGAAAAGGAGTATTTGTCTTAAAAAATACAGGGATTCCAAAAATTACTTACTCTTGTTGATTTACACATAAGCATGACTTTGTCAAACACAAAGATATATCTGTAATAATACCAAATAATTATAAATATGCAATAATCATAAGATACCACACACACACGTACTTCTAACACCAAATGAACATGAATACTTGTATTACAAAATGGGATAAACGTTTTGATATCTAAATACATATTACTACTAGCACCATCTCTACTCATATTTTATGTTGATACTAGTGTGCAATATGGTCCTGCCATTTTGTGTATAGTTAGAGTAAAACACACAGTATATTTATTAGTTTTTTACTGTTTTCTTTTCTTTTTTGTCTCTAAAGAAAAAAAAAGTGTATACTTAAAATTATATATTTAAATCACTGCTATCAGTTTCATTACCACCATTAGCAAGACCCAATGCAAGATTCCGCTGAAAAAGTACATCTTTCTATGTCATCTGGGAACTGGAATAAGCATTTCCACATATTGATTTTATTAAAAACCAACTTGTCATGAGCAGTGAACTTTTCATTTGATTTTGATGAGCTTTACTTCATAGTGGAAAAATCCAAAAAAACTCAACATAAAAGCTTTTGATCACATATAGTGATTATATGTAGATAAATGAAAGAACAATTCTATAATGACAGTATCAGTAACAACAAAAAAGATGGGTTTCTGTGTTGTGCCTTAGGTCTGAATTAATATTATGATATGATTCTTTGATATGAATTAAAGAGATGAAGCCATTTTGAAAAAGTCACAGATGGGATTGTAATGATAATAAATTCTGGCTGGTTTGAATTACTCAGCTTTACCTAATTTTTATAAGTGCAAATATAAGAGCAAATGGTTGATGAGAAAAAATTATATTAACAGCAGGAAAAAGTAGACCTGCACAGAACATGAATATGGAAACATCTTCTTTATATCTAAAAAAGATTTAAAAAAAACCACATTTAAAAAATTCAGATAAATGAACAAATATTTCAATACTGACCAAAGAAGGTGAAATTAAGACATTTTCAATGAAACAGGAAAAGATGAGTAATCTGTGGTTATGTTTAAACCTCAGATGTGTTTAAGGCACTCTATATTGTCTAAAAATTCAGTTTGTCTATAAAAAAAAAAGTTCTGAATTTCTAACGAATATAGATGTTCAAAAATCGCTGTATTTAAGTCCTTTCTAACTTCTGCTTTTATTACCTCATAATTACAAACAGGAGTTTCTCACAAAAGTCAATAATTTTAATATGCTTTATAAATTTAAATCCAGTTATACAAAATCAGTATATTAGGATTTTTAAATGTATCAGCAAACATGATCTCACAAACCAAAAACAAGTGAAGTTGCACTGTGCCAAGCATTTCAGATAGTCTTTTCAAAAATCATACACAAAAATAATAAACTAGCATGGTATTAATTCAAAAGAAGAGTATCAAAACAATTCAACAGTGAACATGAAAAAATATACAGAAAAAAAAGGTAAGAAAAACGACCTAGGATGCTATGACACTTCCCTTAATCTAGTTGCTAATCAAAATCATGTACTTCTTAACAATATAAAAAAAATCTTGTTATAACAGTATGTTAAAAACATTTTTAAAATTTTCACTTGATTTAACAACAGTTGATGTAAAATGCTGCTCTCAATTCAGTCATGTCTATGAAATTAAATAAAATGCTCTTGAAAATCATGACAGAAAAAAAGTAATTTAATTATTTATTTTAAAATCAAAATAATGTGTCATGATTACATATTATACAACTTACTCACACTCCACCCTTTTTACATTGTCTCTTACAATGTCGTTACTCTTGTACAAATCTTATGCACAGTAAAGTTTGATATTACAAACATTGTTAAGATGGCTGTAAACAATAAACTTTTATAAAATATTGTCATGAATATGGGGTAAAGGAGTGCTTCTGTTTTGACAGGTTCGACTGCATTAGCAAAGATGAGCACCTGTAAATCTATTTGCGAGTACTTTTTTACACCCAATCAATAAATGACATGACACCCACTATTTTTGCATGTCACAGAAGGATTTAGAAAGAATTATAACAATCCAATATTATCACATTTATTAGAAATAATATTTTCTCACATTGTATTGGAAGTATTTGTTTCATGACAGCACACTAAATATAATCTCCAGTGACCCTGTTGCTATGCTTAAGCACAATGCTTTGATTTGTTTCTCAACCACCTTTGATTGAACTAGTGATCTGATACGTGTGAATTATATTGTTGTTTGGGATATTATATAGTTCATTATAAAGATTTTATTGAAATTATTCAAATAAAATGAAATATATTTTATCAGTTTAAAATAACAGATGTGATAATTCCAATTTTTATAATGTATTCCAAGAACTATAATCATGACCTAGTTGTGTCAATTGTCAAACTACTTTCTATATCACAAGAAACAGCCTGTAAAAGGCCACATGTACATGCCTATCTTTGAAGATAAGAGTTAAATGTATTATTTACTAATTTTTAACAGATATATTTTATACTTGCATTTTACCAATGACTTTTTAATTATATACTTAATAAGTGTTGTAAGAAGGTAGACTTAATTCCTGAATTTCAATCAGATATTTTTCTTTTTTAAAAAAAAAAATAGTTAAAAGTTAAATATGGGTCGTTGTTATTTGCTACATACCAGTGCTTCATGTTTGAAAAATGGTAAATCAAATATTAGAAAAATACAGGAAGAAGGGTAATAAAATTTGTGTTCTTTGGAACATTCACCTAAATTTAACACTTAAAAATAACAAAAATAATAACATATGATAACATTTCAAAAACTTAAACATGAATACACTAAAAGTACAAGTTTACCTACATAAGTACAACCATGCTTAATAACCTAAATTTTCATGAATATGAAGAAAATTTTATATTTGCCAGAAAACCCAGGATAAGGAACTAAGTGATTTATCTTGCATCTTCATGAAAGAAAATATCTTATTTATCAACATATCCATCTATGTAATTTACAGTCACTCTTGACATAACTACAGTTGCTACTACATTGAAAGAAGTATTGTGAGAAAGATAATATTCCTCATACTTTTTTATCAAAAGTCAAACTTCAAAAATAGTGTGGGTTTAGATACAATATCAGTTACAAGCTTCCATGTTAAATACAGGGCCGAAAGAGAAATCCTGGGCCCCGCTGCTTCCCATGATTCTGTGACCCTCATCCTCTCTTACCCCCCCTCAATTGTGTATATTATTTATTCCCATTGCAAGACGCAACCTCTTAAAGTTGTCCCATGAGAATGTTCACAATTATGCAGTATCAGCATATAAATAATACTTTTTTTTTTTGAGAGAGAGAGAGAGGAGGACATTTTAGTATCCTATGTGTGGAAAATATTTGCTCGAGACCAGGCACCCCAGGTCACAGGCCCTGATGATTTGCATTGGATGCACCTCCCTCCTCTGGGCCCTGCTTGAAGTTATCCTACTGTCTTTAGGAAAGATATAATGTTTTAGTGCAGTTAAGAATTTGATAACAAGATCAAGACAGTTTATCAAATTTTATTAAACATGTAAGACACACCTGTTTTTCAGCCTGTTATCATCATGTGATCTAACTTTAAGTTCTCCATCCTTTAAAAGACGTCCATAATCTCTCAGTTCTGTGTTTTCAGGCTAAAAATAGAACAGAGTAAGACCAAAACAAAAAAGCTTATATTTATTAATCAATACAAAATAAACATAATACAAATAAAACTGTATATTAAAGTATGAACACTCACCTCCAGCTGAGATAAAATAGGCCCTCCTTTAAATAAAATGTAAAAACTACCATTGGTTATTATAATAATAAACACTCAATTGCTAATAAATTATTGGTTCTTATTTTCGAAATTAATAGTTGACCAACACACACACACAAAATATTTTTACCAATTAAATTTTTCTCAATATAAAATGCACAAGCAAAAATGTTTACTGCACACTCACTGATTAGGTAGATCTAAATAAAACAATCTATATAAACAAATAAAGCTGTTTCACCAACAAAAGATGTAATAGGTTATACAAGCAAAGTACATTTGAAGTTTACATTCACAGAAAGTTCTGAAAAGTGAGAGTACCACGTAAGGCATAATTATTAATTTGAAACTAAGGACAAACACAAAATCTCTCTCTGTCTACACATCTACAAATACTAAAAATAGAATATTAACTAAGAATTTCATTAGAAAATGTAGACCAAACTGAGAATTAGACGAAAATACAAAAACCACCAAAGTATCAAATCAAGCTAAGAGTTCTTGTTTTTTGAGTTTTTATTTTTCATTTTTAGGATCTGCTCATCTGAAAACAAATAGAAAAGCTGTATCAATGTTTTAGTTTTGGGTATACCTTTAATTATTAAAGAGATTGTCTACATTCACCAAAGACACAAGTTTTGTTCTCTGTCAACCATGTTTTCTACACCTCAGAAGAAAAACCTAGCTTTAAACATGTTTTGTTTCGAGTACTGAACATTTAATCAATCATGCTTGATATGCATCAGTTTTCATACTAAGTACAAAATTTCTCAATTTACCTATGCTAGAAATTTTACTGACCTAAATTACCTACAATGTACATTTTACATCACTTCATCCAACCAATCTTAAAATTTGTTCAATGCTTATAAACAGCAACACCTACCTCACCTGCATCACATCCTGAAAGTTTGAGGGATCATTACCAAGTATATTACACAACTTGCCAATGTCAACATTTTGAAATTCTAATAGATCCTTAAAAAGTATAATCAACATTTCACCAACAGCAACATTCTGAAAGTTTATTTGATCCTTATAAAGTACAATATAAAACTTAATAACATCAACATATAGATGTTTGAAAGATCCTTATAAAGTATAATACATACATATCATATTTAATCAATCATGATGAATGTTTGACTGATGTGTATCTCACATAATTCAACATTTTACAAATATATCACATCAGAAAATTATAATGAAATGTCATTAAAAAATACTTACCATGTCAAGATCTGTGATGCTGACCTGAATGTCTCTTATTATTTCTAGAGTTTCACTATCTCTTTTCACTTCATTAATGTACTGAGAAATGTCCTGGAGATAACAGAAGAATGTATAAAACAATACCTTTAATTATTACATTTTACAACAAACCCAATCTGTAGTGAAAACGTTTTCTATGGAATAAGTGGAGCTTGATTTTTATTATAAACATAAAGGAAACTAGAAAGGATGACATATCAGTATTTACAATAATTATCATCATCAAATATTAAATTGTTGTTTATCACTCCAAAAAGAAATGTCATCTTTACATGCAGGATAAAAAAGGTGTCAAATAACTTGTATTTATATTAAATCATTTAGTAACTTGAACCAACATTTATTGTTATCTTTCATTTAAAAAATGTATAAGCCAAAAAAACCTTGATATAATATGAAATGTTCCAACTTACTGGTGGAAAAAGATTCAGTAACACAGAAAATAGATAAAATTATGTATATATATTCAAAACAATTTTACTGCACTCAAAATGAGATTAGGGAATATTACACAACTGATAATCTAGAACCTGTACATGTAAAACGGGTGTCCTTTATTTAAACTTTTTCATCCTAAAAACAATAAAGTGACAGCAAAGAAACGTGAAATGAGTGCAGTAGTGTTATCCTTGGGTTGATAAAGACATGAATAAGTAAGGCAAAAATAGCTGCTTTAGATAATAAACAAATAGAAAAGGAAAAGAAAACACTTCTGGAAGTGTTTAAATCTTACAACTAAGACTATATAGGAAAAGAAACATCCACTGCCAATGTCCATCAGCAAGAGATTTGCTTGTATAATTTCAAATTGAACTAAAATCAATATTGTATTCATACTCTCTAGAATTGTCTTATTTTAGATTCTGTTAGGAAAAGATTTTTCACGTGTTAACCCAGAACTTTGTCGTGTTCATAACATAAGTATAGCTACAGCTCTATTAGGTGTTATAAATGAAAGCTCCATTTATACAGGTGGTGTAGCATAATATAAGAAAACCTAATGGTTTTCAAATGAGACTCAAAACTCGAACACTTTCAAATAGTTCACTATTCTTCTTCAGGAAAATAAAAAAATCTATTTAAGTTTTTATCAAAATTTGAATGCATTATTTGCATTTTCTTTTATTTCACCCTGGATATGTTATTAAAGTTCAAAAGAATACCTATACTTGAGTGTTTGTTAAACTATTAAAATACATTACTGTTATACTATTGACCAATAAATAGTGATATTGTCCATAACAATATAATGCCCCCCCATTTCTGAAAGGGCAAGCATGTTTGCCACTAGGTTTTAATTGCATGACCACAGATTGTTAGTTGAGCACCCAATTTAATGAGATTTTAATTTCAAAAAGTCTGCGTCATTACATCCACCTTTACATTTTCACATGGCAATATCTAAATTTTGTATGCAAGCATAAACAAGTACCATGAGTTCACCACATGTCTCTTGTCTTTGCAATGTCAATAAATAAACAAACTTTATCCCTTTCAGATACATTATAAAGGTTAGTTCTTCAAATATCACGATATCCAGAGTCACGATTAATTAAAACCACAACATAAATGAGATATAAGCTTTTAGATTCCTTATATCTTAAATGTTTCAGAATATAAAGTTTAGAACCTGTAATTTTAAACATAGCAAAGCACAGGTGACTGGATTACCTAATCCCTCCACCTAAGTTCTAAATTACTGCAATAAATATAATAATCACAATGATTATATAATGATAGTATCACAAAGGCAATTTCTATTAACTTCAAGCACTAAGAAAACTTATCTCAAAAACTATTTACAATTAATAAGACATTTAACAGCAATATTACAAAAACCAAAAATATAGGAAACAAGTTGAAGAACAACACATTTATACATAACTTGTACACCTCCAGTTCTTTTCATTTGAAGTGTGCACTCGCATACACAAGCACACATGCAAATTTAATTAAACTGTAACAAATAAAATACGGACATGACAGCTACACAACTCACCAGCATACAGTCTAATGCCTTTTCTAGTCCTTCATAGTCCTCATGTGTTTTAGGTGTATTTCTCAGAAGTTCCTAATAAATAGGACAAGGAAATATATTAATTGTGAGTGTGAAACAGATTTTTCATGTAATATATAACTTACAGTAACACTGTATGGGGTAAACTATTTATTTATTAACGTGTAGATTTCTGAAAAATATAACAACATAGAATTGGTTTGCAGTAGACTGCAAATTCATTGTGTCAAATAAAAATTTAAGCTGTTAGAATTATGATTATTCAAAATGCTAAAGATATACATACTGGTGTCCTGGGACAAGCATGATGTGTAGATAGTATGGACTAAAGCACTTTAGCAATTAGGTTTGAGAAGTATATCACCAATGAGTTTATGGGAAGAAAAAAAAGTTACTGTTACCCTAAAAAATCTTATGACACAACCCACTTGACTGTCACTTAAGCTACTTATTCAAGAAAAATGAGGCTGAACATTTCTCTCCAAGCACTTAACCAGTTTAATATGCTACTTTTCAGTCATCATAAGAGCAGCAGTAAAAGTTCTCAAAGAAAGAAAAGAAAAGAGGCAAACAACCTACATGTTGTAACAAAACCAAGAGCTAATTCTCAAGTAACAATCAAATAACATGAGTTAGGATAAAATTATAAGTAGCCCATCTTTTTAGTTAATTATATTTATATCTACATGCTTTTGGCTGGGTTCTTTTTGTTTCTTGCCCAGGATTGTTTCCATAATCATTTTTAATCTTCTTTAACCAGTCATCAAAACATACTGACCTAATTAAAATGAACAAAAACAAGTAAAGCCATTATTACCTATTACAAATGTGTATTTAAAGCTTCCACAACCACTTCATTAAAACAACATTGCTAACAATCTTTTGATTATATTCAAATCCTATTTTCTGTATGTATAGGTTTTCAATATCATTTTTATCTTACTATGACATTCTTGTAGACTTATAATTGTGAATCTTGTACATTGTAAATATGGTTCAAACAAGCCCAGGGAGTCACATATCAGTGTACCTCCATTACCACAAGTAAAAAGATATAACTAGGCTCATGTCTGAATACCAACACAGAATCATCTTTTACAAGTTATAGTTTTAGAATGTTTTATGAATAGCAATTTAAATGACACATGAGCTAGACAGTGAGGTGAAAGACCCCTAAAGTTCAAGAATACCCATCAATGATTCCTACTTTAGAAATATCATCAAAAAAAGAGAGCAACAAATCAACAGAACTCACTGCCTATGTGGAAACTTTTAACCGTATAGTGGGATTGACTGTTACAGTGATAATGGCCCCACAAATCTAAGAACAGAGCTCATTCATTGGTTTATTGCAGCTCAAACTTCTTACTATCCAATACACAACCAAGCCCTATAATTATACCACAAATTAATCAATGTTAGTTAACCATTTAGTACTGTTGTATAAAAATACTATACAGTGTATATGTCATACCTACAAATATTCTTGAATTCTTCTATGTACTGATTTGGAACATCCCACTTCCAGTTGAGGTCATGTGCTAAATTAAGCCTAAGCTTTATACTCTGTAGAAGAGTTTGATCATAAAAGTTATCTACTGTTTCATGGAATAATTGTATTGTATTCTACTCTACCTTGTGTATATAAAATTGTTTTATGACTATCACATGGAGCAGATACTTCTGAATTCTTGTAACCTGTCTTATTGTGTGATCAGATACAGAAAGAATGTGCAATGTGAGTACAATTTTGGCAGTTTTCAGTAAAATTCCTTTCTGTCTTCAGAGAAAAAATATTAATTTCTGTCCTGAAGAGCCAAGTCTTGCTGTCTGTGTTTAATCTGTTTTATCCACTACTTTCACTGATGATGTGAATCACCTCTACTACATCTTTAAATACAGTTTATTTTACTTTTCAAATTAATTTATCACAATGCAACAGTTCTTTCCATTTGTACAATTAGCCATTCTTTTGTCTTCTTCAACAAATAAAGTATTTATATTTGCTTCAGACAAATATGATAGCTAACTTTCAGACAAGTTGTTAGCAGTGTTTACTTTATAATACTTTTTCTCTAGAACTCACTGAAAACTAGCAGTGATGTATTAGAAGTTTCTGCCAAAGTCACAGTTGCTCACGTTCTTCATTGTACTTTGAGGCTTTGTTCTCTAACTTTATCCAGATCTTACTAGTATATCTATCTTCAGAAAATATCATTTAGCTCACAAACATCCAGGGAATGTTCATTTTTTATTTAGCTATATTTTTTATATAATCTCTCTCTTATAAAACTACCTATTTCATATTTACAAAGAACAACCTACAAATAATCAAACGACAAATAACATGAGCATAAACATATAGAATCAACAGTGCAGTCAGAGTTCGTCAAGAACAGACTATACTCTATAACTGAGGAGTGAAAGCTAAATTATCAATATTCTGTAAACATTTACTTATAATAATAAAAGTAACTGATATTTACTAGTGCAACAAAATATCTTATCAAAGTTAATTTTCAACAGTTACCAAAAGTCATCAGTTAATTTGTTTTTAACTAATAAAGTAATTAAGCAAAAAAACCGGTCTATAGTTATAAGGATTTAGCTGTTGTTAGACAGTCAGTCAAGCAAAATTTGTGCCAGCTGAACCTCTGTGTGTAAAGATCTATAGATAATTAAATTAGGTACTTGAAAAAATAAAATGTCATTCATACAATTTGTGTAAATCCTAAATTTTATAAATTTTGTAGATAAAGAAAAGGTAATGTGAATAGTTGTATTGCTTTAGATCATATCATTTCATGAAGTTCTCTTAACAGGGCAAAAATAAAATTAAGTTTAATATATTCAACAAGAGCACTTCTAAAAAAAAAACCTTCTTTTACAACTGAAAAGAAGTTCTATATCAAGACATTTTACTTTTTCAGCATGACTTCCTCAGTTCTCTTTTACCAAGCGAGAAAGTTAATCCAATTACCCCCCCCCCCAAAAAAAAAGTCCTAACTCAAATATTGTTTTGCATTTCTTAAATTAGAGTTGGTTTTTGGAGAGAAAAAACTTGGAATAAATGTGGTATTGTTTTAACATTAAAAACTACCCTTTGCATCTGTGTGGACTTTGATGAAGAAGAGACACTTATTTAATGCTTTGGATACAACTGTGTTAACCAATAGTGTAACAAATTTTTGTACATACATTTGATAGTTTTGAATATATTATTTTAAAACAAGTGGATTGTGTGCTGTCTGTTTATTTTGGAAATTTATTGCCAACAAGTTCCAGAAACCTACTGTAAACAATTGCAGCCTATATAAAACCCAACAATGGTGGCATCATATTGTGATAAAAGCCCTCCACCAATAGGAGAGTAACACAACCTCGATGCACAGTAACTCCCCTATGCACTTGTGATAACTTCATTCTTTGATGAGGCAAGACAAAAAAATCCAGTAAGCATGTAATAATCCACAACACAATGAACAAAGGCTGGAATGTGCCCAACAGTTAATGAGCTTCAAGCCATAGTAGAAATAATGCATGTGTGTTTAACATCATAATTCATACAAGACTAAGTAGAAGTCACCCTCACTTGAGAATTCATGATTAAAATCAAAGCTAAAGAAACTGAAAATCTAAGTTTCATCAAATTGAAGCCAGACAAAATTTGAACATGCCTGTGTCATACAATACTGAGAGGAATAAAGAAGGGGAGTTACTGTGCCTGGAGGTTGTGTCACCCTCTTATTGGTAGAGGGTTTTTGCCACATGGTGACATCATTATGCACCAGCACAATTCATGTTAAACACATGAATATGGGCAGGAGTAACCTCAAGGATAGTGGCATGCAAACCTCATAGACAGATATGCAAGGAAGTTAGCATTTCTGTGTGCTTATGTGAGTTATCATCTCAGAACTTATAAACTATTATACTATTCTTAATAGTACATTACCAATTACTATTTCATTGTAGGTACACAAAGCATGTTACAAGGGTATCCTTCTTAACAACCATCCCCACTACTTTTAAAAGCATTAGAAGATATAGCAAAACACTCTCTAATGTCTGTTTGAACCTTATCAATGGGTTTGGCACAACATTCCAACTGTGAAACAGTCTCACATTTGATGTTTTTTTGCTCAATAATATATATATATTTTTAATTTTCTGAACAAGTTCTGGTTCAAAAGTGCATTACTTTATGCAATTCTGAAATTTTTTTGCAAAAATATGTACAAACTTATTTTATCACATTATGAAGAAAGAGGTTATAAATTCAATTATTTTAAGGGAACATCTTAAGTAGTACAACAAAAATTGCTCAGATTTAATCTACAAGTATGCTTTTAAACAAGAATTCATTCAAAAAAATTGCAGAATTCTCTCTCAGTTACCAGATAGCTTTGCAAATGGAATGTTATGTCAGACCTAGTCAAAGCAAGAATAGTTTTTGTCAGAATTCCATGAGAGATAGTAGAATCAATCAGTTCATTGGACTATAAAATATCTACCCTACTTACCAACCCAAAACGTTAACATAGATTACGTTACTGCAAACAAACAATATTTTAATTATAGCCCTGTTGGTAACTATGTTAAAAAAAAATCTTACTCCTAAAACATTTCATTCAACAAAATTACATACAAAAGCTTGGTTTACAAGAACCTTAATGTTAGAGGAATTGCTCTTTTTATATATTTCAAAACTGTATATGAGAATATAATTTGGAGATATTCATCCAGTGCATTTTTCTTCCAAACTTAATATATTCTATTGAAAGTTAAAAATAATTTAATCATAACACTATTTTCATAAATAAACATATTAGAATTTGTCGATTGGCTGAAAAGTAACCAGAAAAGTATTATTTTATTAAACTTTAATGGTAGATAATTACACACTTCAAAAGAAGTAAACTAATTTCTATTAAAGATTATGAAGAGCCTGACCTTAAGCAGAAGGTGATACTTAAGAACTCTCTGCATGGGGACAGACAGCAAGTCTCGTAGTTTAAACTTTCCTTCGTTGGCTTCCATTTGACACCTCTGAATACAAAAAACAAACACACCAAAAGTAACCAATTTGTCTATTCAGAAAATATATTACATTCCCAAATAAAAAAAATTTGTAATTAACTAAATGAAGATCTATCTGACTGGGACTTTAAGTCTTTGAGGCTCAGTTAATAGAGCAACATAGCATTAGTGTGAGTCAGAAGTCTTTCGTTTAAGTACTACTCATGGCATATTGCTTTTAACCTATTTAGAATTATTAGAACATACTCAAGTTGTGTACATATGAACCTCCGAAAGTATTCTAAAACAAATGCTCACATATAAAGATAAAAAAACTCGTACTATGTCCAGCTAAGAACTAGCATTGGTTGAGATAAGCGATGATAAGCAAGAATATCTAATGGAGATTTACAGAACTTTCATACCTGGAAGTATGTTAATGAAAATATTTGTACATCTCTATTGTTACACTCCTTTCTTCCAAAACATGGTAAAGGAAGATGATAATAAACACTACACCATAACTTAAACATTTCTCATATAATACAATGAAAAAAAACTTTAATAAGTGTTTATGTTGAATGATTATGGCATTATAAACTTATTTATGAAAGATTATATATATGCGCTTTATGAAAATGGCCTTTTGTTGTTTCATTGTAGACATTAAACTATACTTAATTCTGAAAACTCAATGAACCTAAGTTAGTAAAAGAGAAAAGGGTGAATCATTCCTAACTGCTAGAAACATACAATCTGTTAATATAAATAACTGTGATACAACAAAATTTACTTAAAACATTCTATGGTGAATATGAAAGATAGCTCGTAGTACTGCACTTACAGTTTGCTAATGAGTAGCTCAATAACCATAACACCAAATCATATATCATTAAGTAGCCTGACTCTAAACGAAATATTGAACAGTTCTTACAGAGCACTTTCAGAAAACATCAAATTGGTGCAAGCAAAAATTTAACATTTTCCTTACCTGAAAGTGTTTTTCAGATAGATACCTACCTCTCTGTGCCACTACGAGCTATTACCTCATGTGCAACTGCCATGGAATTTTATATACAAAACTCCCATGCCTACACATGTCTGTGTGTATTGCACCAGCCTATGACATAATTGTCATAATGCAGTAGCCCTCCACCAATACTAGGATGACACAACATCCATATACAGCAGGGGTCGGCAACCTTTTTTGATCGCGAGTCAATTATTTTTTTTGTTGAAAAATTTAGCATTGTGTTGGGTCAGTGATAATCACATAATTACTAATACCAGTACATATATTTCAAATGTGTATGTTTATTTACATACAAAAAAATTAATAGTTCGACCAGTTTGATATTTTTCCCTGAAATTGGTCTTAAAATTCTCCGTAGCCGTGACTCTTTTCCATCTTTCCTTTAATATTTAGCCTAATAAAACATGTAATAACAAACGAGCTCCAATTATATTTGTGTATCAGTAGTTTTGACAGCAATACCAGTAGTTTTACCAGTTTATTGAAATACGTTTTTCTACAATAGAAGTTACATTTCGATGTGAAATATTAAAATATTGTAATGATTATCTTCTTAAGAAATGCATTTTGTAAGTTTTTTTTTTAGGGAATAATTTTTAAACGAGTATAATTAAAAAGAAGACCAAAATGGTACAATATTTCCTGTTTTGAAAATGGGTAAGCAGTGAAAGTTATGTTAGTAAATAATAGTTACAGATTCTAATTTGTTGTTAATACCAGCTGAACTTGAACTGAACAATGATTGTGCCCTTAAGGGTTGCATTGGTGAAGCCAACTTTTGGCGGGTCACTTAGTGACCCGCGGGTCATAGGTTGCCGACCACTGATATACAGTAATCGCTGGGGGCACTAGCAAAATATCATAGGTTCATTCTTGTTGAGGCAAAGAAAATGTACCACAAGTAGGGAGGAAGGATGAGAAGGTGGTGCAGAGAGGTAGGTATCTATCTGAAGTACATTTTCAGGTAAGGAAAATGTTAACTTCAGAAACATTACTTATCTCTCTGTACCACTATAAATTAGAATCCCATATTGAAAATGGTGGAGGGGCTGGTGCAGACTATTTACAAAATTAGATCCTTTCTGAAAAAGCAAAGGAAATGAAAAGCCCATAGGGTGCAACTTCCACAAGACTGGGAGTTGCCTAGTGGAGCAGTACCCAGTAGGTGTCCACATCCTTTTCAAACAGGAAATATTCTTTGCCCAATTTATTGTTATTTATTCACTGACATATTTTACACACATGACAGAGAGATTTATAGTAAAGGATATCAGGTAAATCCAGTGCAAGTGGTAACATGTTGCAAACACGGGCAGGATGTTAGTGTGTGTAATATTGCTAGGGCATTAGGCTGTTACATCTTGGTTACATACTTACACAAGATGAATATTGTAATAACAGGTGAAGGGAAGAGCAGCTCTCACCTGCATCCCAAGACAAATCCAAGTCCTATCTGGTTGGACATATCCACCATGAAATGCTTGAGAAATACTATAATCAGGCATCCAGTACTACAATTTCAAGGAATACCACAGATCTACATTTCAAATAAGGAATGACTCCAACCACCCTCTTAACCCTATCAGCACAGGTACCTTTTACTGTGCATGACACAAGGTTTTAGTGTCTTACATTCAAAATTTTATTAAACTATTTTTTGTTTATGTTATACCAATTAGAATAGCATAAAATCTTAGCTAATAATCTATATTTTAATAGTATATAAGTTTTAAGTTCTTAATTCTAAAAGGAAATATATAAAAAAATCATGAATTTCCACTAGTGTAACACACATGACAAATTTTGTCTTAGTGTGTCATCATCCCTATTTTATCCATCACCCCTCGAAAATGTACGAAATTAAATGTAAGATGCTCTCTATAAAATCATTATTGCTCAAATAGACAATAATTTTTATGGCCTTCAATTTTGTTTTGTTACAGAGCTATCAAAGAGCTTTAAGAAATGGTGACTGGAGCCACTGTGTTTCATTTGCTAAATGTAATGATATCTCAGTAAATAGAAAAGTTAGGAGGTTCTTATTTTATATTCTAGCTTGTCAATATACCATATAGCACACAAAAATCAATATTTAAGAATTTTGTTTTGATGTTAAATTTAAATTAAGAAATTAACTAATGTATAATACTGAAATTTTAATTTTAATTTGCAATTTGATGCCAAACTTATTGCTATACATTAATAAAATAGTAGTTCAATAAAATTTTGAATGCAAGTCTACAAATATGATGACCAGCCCTCTGACCCCTACCCTTAGGAAAACCCGTAGCTATAGGGTTAAGCCAGAGTAATTCTCAAAAAAAAAGTTGGGTATCACTGCTGTTCCATAAAATTGCTTCAATTTCATTGTAAATTCCAAATGTTATTCAGCATTCCACAATATTAAGCTGACAAATTATATAAGTAAATGTTTCTAAATCATACTTCCTCATATTTCCTGCCACAATTAACAATATTTGAGAATCTTTATCACATATTTATATACAAAATGATACAATTTTTTTTTCATATTACTAAGAAAAAAACATGAAAAGAAGAGTAAGACTTACCAAAATGCACTGATTGATAATCTCATTTTTATTACACAAGTCATCCAATAGCTCTTGTGAAGTTGGAAGATTAGAACAATATTCTCCATAAATTACAAACTTGTCCTTCCAGTGGATAAAACAATCACTGATCCTATGCTGGCTGGAGGTGCAGGCCTTAAACAGCTCACTGTGAAATGCATTATGGATCTCTGCTAGTTCCTAGTTTTAAAAAAGGTATAGTTAAATAATAAAAAAACACTGTAGGAGCACAGATCACTCGATTTTCAATTAAAGATAAATAAATGTTCTTAACCATTCAAAAAACCAATAATATTGATTTTGTGATACTATTTAAAAGTTTCTGAACCATTCAGAAACAATAATATTGATTTTGTGATACTATTTAAAGGTTTCTGAACCATTCAGAAACAATAATATTGATTTTGTGATACTATTTAAAGGTTTCTGAACCATTCCAAAAACAATAATATTGATTTTGTGATATTAGATAAAGGTTTCTGAACCATTTAAAAAACAATAATATCAATTTTGTGATACTAGATAAAGGTTTCTGAACCATTCCAAAAACAATAATATTGATTTTGTGATACTAGATAAAGGTTTCTGAACCATTCAAAAAACAATAATATTGATTTTGTGATACTAGATAAAGGTTTCTGAACCATTCAAAAAACAATAATATTGATTTTGTGATACTAGATAAAGGTTTCTGAACCTTTCAAAAAACAATAATATTGATTTTTTGATACTATATAAAGGTTTCTGAAGCCAAAAGCATTTCTTTTTCTTTTTAACAAGTTAGTCATAATGACTGCTTCTTGCTCTGCTTGTACATATCAGAAAAACAAGGCCAGTTGCATCTTCTAATTCCAAAACATTTTCTCCAAATAAATTGAACAATACAGCTCATTTGACCATTAAAATGGCAGCACAGTATGACTACAGGACTTTTATAACAATACTATAAAAACAGATTTCAAAAGACCCAGATGTTAAAAAATTTCTATTACTGATGACTGTTCTTCAGTGCTATTCTTCTGAAGGATAATATCAATCTATTGAAAGTACTCATGCTTCTAAGTTTTTTGAAATCCACCTTGTTTTTCAGTAATCCTTTGCATTAGCTTTTTCATCTAAAAATATGCTATAACTTGGAACTTTTTCACTTAGACACAGACACACTGGTGAATTTATCACCTTTACAGTGCTTAACATAAAACGTACATGTTGTTTAATTACCTGCCTTAAAAGGTACAAAACATCTCTCTTTTGTAAAGTTACAATAATAAAATCAGTACATGTACTCAGTTAAATGTTGAATCATACAAAATGAAAATGGGGAAAACCTTAATACTTAAATTCAATGATTTTGGCTTGCTTTGAATTGTGTGAAACAATATACCATTTCAATACTTAGTCCAAAAAACATGTATTGTTGACATTCAACATTTGTAGAATAGTTTACCTTCCATTTAATGTGTTTCTTTCTAGTTAATATAAAGTTAATTATTTTTAAGTAGAAAAAGTCCCTGGCTTAATATTTTTACTGCAAAAGTTTTCTTACATTTTAATTCATTACTTAAAAGTCTATTTCTTAAGAGCTTTCAACAGTAGTACCTCACTATGTATACATAACTATATAAAATCTTCAATAATAACTTCAGAATTAGAATGCACAAGGAAAGATTAGGAAAAAAAATGCAGTACAAAGGACTTTTATAAGGCAGTCTTATGTTAGAAAATTCTACGACACAAGGTTATTAATTCAAATTATGCTCTCTCAACTCCATTTTCTAATAGTATATTCTAAGTTTTGCAGCATTACACCTCATCACACAGTTTACTTGTAGTTGAGACAAGTTTCTGAGTTTAAAATTTTCTGTCATTTTATGAAATATGGCTTTGAGGGGAAAATCCCCTGTCTTACTTATAATGTATTTACCATTATCTATAGATTGAAAATATTATGCTTCTACTGAATGTTTTGTGCAGGTTTTCCTCTAGCCTCACTTTGAGATATATATGAGCAATATTAAAAGTCGCAATTTTAAAAGGTTATTTTACTTAAAGTGTAGTTTACATTTTTTATATAAATACACTGAAAATCTAACAGATCATTCAAAAAGGGTGAATTTTGCATGTTCTGTCTGAAAAAGGTTTGGGCACGGCAAAAAATGCATTATACATGTTTTCTATTAAGTTATACAAATATTTTAGGCTTTTGCAAGTAATTATTATTAAAAGAAAAGATAATCAGACAGAAAGGTTTTTTTACTAAAGCAAACACAGCTTTGAAAAACAAAATGGGCCATTAGATAGTGAAAATTAACATGTACCAAAATACAAATAAATATTCCAGTAGTAAGCTACTTTTGAGAATGTATGATGTTTTTGTTGTTGAAGCAGCTTTGATATACAAGGAAAGAAGTAGAAACATAATGGCTCTATTTTCTTAACACCACAAGATAGGGAACTGAAAACTAATATTAAGAAATTGTTGAATTTTTAATTTTGAGAGAAAAATAGACACAAAAAACTTTATGATGTATCCAAATTACTTAAAACTAATAGTTACTAATATAGCAAAAATGTGTATTCTGAGTTCCACTTATTTGCTGAAAAATAAAACTTTTAATCTTTGACTGTTTTTTAAATGTATTTGTATTTATAAATAGTTGAATAATTCAAGAATGAATTATAATTAATTTATTAGCTATAGGGAACCTAAAAAGAAAATTCTTAATTTCTTAAAGTTTTAAAAACTTATCATATTAACATTTATAAAATGCAATAGTAAGACGTCAAACAACAAAATGAATGACATATTCATATATTACATACTTTCCAACAATAGAAAATAAATTGAAAATTATAAACTAACCTTAATGTTCATAAATATTATTCTTCGTTCTTCTTCCTTCAAGACACTTTTCAATGGTCTGATAAAATGCTGTTTAAAAACAGTTTATTTAGTATAAACACTTCAATACTGCTTAAGGGTATATGTAACTAAATATATATGATTGGTTTCTTTGCTGTCGTCAAGCATGGTATCAAACCCTGACTTTTAGCATTATACACCTTCAGACTTGCCTCTGAGCTACTGGGGGGAGGGTATATATATATATAAATGAAAGATTACACCACTACATTGTGTAACTGACTTATCTTAGAATCAAAAGTAAGAACAAATTCAAGTTTATTTAAGCCTATAGGAAATAATAACAATAAACCTTGCATTTTACACATTGTTTAAATGAGTCAAGTAGGAGCAATGTATATTTTAATTCATTACTATGCATACTTATCATTTGTAGAAGATTCTAATCTCAGGGACTCTTCAATTTTAAATATTTGGAGTTCACTGTTCTTTATTTTATTGGCAAAATATAAGGTAAATTAAGTTCTGTATTATGAGAAAATTTTACACTGGAAACAAAGAAAAATGACAATATTTCTTCACCTATGAACACAAGTTTGAAATTCTACTAAATTAATGCTTTGGTCTACCCACCTAGTGTAACTGTAATAGACACTGGATATAGCATTTACATGATCTAAAAATACAATCAAGACATCATCATTTAATACCAGTGTCAATAACCTGTATCGTGGTTTGTTATAAACACATGTTGACCAAAGTGTATCTAAGATGGTTTAATATTTATCTATAAATTTAGGTTCAACATTCTATAACCAGCTTATGGAAAATGGTGGAATTTCATTTTGTTTCATCTCAGTTTGTAAAATTTACATATTATAATGAACTTGGAGAGAAAAATGTTAAAGAAATTATTCTTAAGAATTCCAATTCTGTACAATGATATTACAAAAGTTTAGATTATAAGTCACATGATTATCTAAACACAGTTCAGCTAAAAGTAACTGATGTTTTCCTGAGCTAATTAACTTGGAAGCATTCACATTTCTAATAACATGTGTTCAGTAGTGGATAACAAGAAAATCTGTGAATATGGTATTCTCATATTCAACAGTTATGAAAGGACAGTACTATATTTTTAAAACAGTTAACTTTCAGTAATACCAACTAGATTGATATAATAATAATGAAAGCATAAGTACACACATGGAAATGCTGAAAAACATACAAAATATTTGCACATTAAGACAATTGTTCAGCTTCAGCCTAGACAAGCTCGCAAATGGAGGGTATTCAGAACAGAAAATTATTTGTTAGGACAGTAATATTTGATCATCCCAGCTAAGTCATTCTATTAATTTATAACAGATAATCATTTTCCATGACTTAACATGACTTGCACATAAATTTCATGTTTTTTCATATATTTTTATGACCTATGTAAACACTATATAACAAGAGAGAAACAGTCAAAAATAAGTGAATAAATCTAGACTTGCTTTTCTTTTTCTTACGTATCATCAATAAATACCGCAAATGTATATGATTTATGTATTTGTTTCAGCAAAGATATGATAGAGTCCCATATTAGATTCATTTTCCATAAATCAGTTTAAAGGTATTCTGCCAGATGTTTATTTTTTATTAATAGAAGTCAACATTTCTATACCAAAGCATCTTAAGACTTGCTAGCTTTGTTCATTTGTTTTCATGTTCCACTGATTTTTAACACATGACTTTTAGTATTTATGACTACTTACTAGTTAGCATTAAAAGTCAGTGACAATACATACATGAAATATGACAGTTTTGGTAACCTAAGTGAAAAGTTAATTTATAAAACTAGGATTATCAATATTCTTGCAAAATTCCAAAATCACTTGAGATTTACCTTGATAATCATGTTTAAAGCTTCAATGTAATTTTTTTCTGTTTCCACAAGTTCTTTAATACAATAATCACACTTTTCTACAGGTGCTGTAGTTGGAACTGGAATCTGAATATCAGAAAAATTAAGTAACCAACACTTTATAACACTCTCACCTGTGGCACATGAAAACCTTTTATAACCATTATTAAGAGTTTGTTAATCTTCTGAAAATCATCCTTCTAATAAAACTTGATTAAATTCAATCAATTATATCCATTAAATGTATTATCATATATTAAAACATTGCTGCACTGAGCTAAGAATTTGTTTTATTAGAAAAATGAAAACCTAACAGTCAGATACTTAAGCTAACATTTCATTTTACAGATTTTAAGGTGTTTGTATTTCTTTAAATACACTTAAAAACTTTTATCTTCTAAGTAATTTAAACAAAATAAGTAATCTTAAGCAACAATAGTAAATAAGATCAGTAAATAATACCTCTTTGGATAATGTGTACAGTCATATACATACTGCTTACTTACATGCATATACATGCTGCATATATGTACAAATACAGGCATGCTTCATTTTTGATTAACAAATTATTCAATAGCAACAACACTCGTGTATATGCACTGTAAAATTTTAAGTATATGACTACTCAGTTACATGTACATAAACACTATCCTCCTGAAACTACAGTAAAACATATATACGTGCGTCTTCCCATTTTGTTAAAATGACTGAAACTTGCAACAGAAAATTTTCATTACGAGGTGGCTTTTACCTTATAAACTGAATCAGTTTTTCAAAATAGTGCAAAGGATTTAACACAAAAAAAGTGATTTTCTTAACATTAATAGTTTCAATCCTTTCTGCATTAAGGTCATAAAGTGACCTACAATTAGAAACATTCAATATGCTATATAAATTAATAATTAGTAGTACATTTGACATAAAATCTGAAACATTTGTACAAACTGTACTGCCACTGTTTTGAAACATGAATTTAATTTTTCAAAATAATGATGATTTTCAGTCAATAAAAACAAAATGTTAAAGCTCAGTATGTCACAGAACATAACAGGATTATACAGTAAATGGAATGTTCTAATGTTTTGTATGTTCAGTATGTCACAGAACATAACAGGATTATACAGTAAATGGAATGTTCTAATGTTTTGTATGTTCAGTATGTCACAGAACATAACAGCATTATACAGTAAATGGAATGTTCTAATGTTTTGTATGTTCAGTATGTCACAGAACATAACAGGATTATACAGTAAATGGAATGTTCTAATGTGTTCTCTATGCAATTACATGTTTTGTATCCAAGCCAAGATCATGCACAGCACCAAATCTTCTATGAACATGCTTGACCAAAACAAAAACAACAAACAAATATCCAGTAGCAGAATGATAATTTTCATGAATGAACAAAATTTAAATAGCTCCGCAATGGTATTGCACAACTGGTCAAGTCAACAGTTACATTTAATTTCTGAATTTCTTGTTACTTTTAATCAGCTAGTGGAATGATTTGTAATTAAAACTATGATCAAAGTTAAAGGAAAAATTAACACAGTAAGTTACCTAACTGAATTTCCTTAATTAATTTTTAATGTTTGATTGCTGATATAACATAACAAAGTAGTATTTTTCTTGAAGATGTAGTGTAAAATAATAGCCTTACATTTATATGGGGAAGCACAAAACTTAAAATATGTGGACCTAATTGTAATTTCCATTGAACTATATGATACAGAAAGTTTAAGTATGCACATACATTAATTAATTCACAGAACAAAAAAAAACATTAGTTTCACTAATCTTTCAAACTCTATGCCCTTGTGTATAAACAAGATTTGAAAAGTTCAATTTAAAGCAATGGACTTGAAATAAATATCAACCATTAAGACTATAAAAAAAATTGAAAAATAAAGAGATATCAAGAACTAATAAATGAATTGGAAAGAAGTTACCTGTTTTAGGAATTTTTAATAATGATTGAAATGATCTGGAGATATAATGATAAAATATAATATTATTTAGTTTTTCAACAATCATGTGTTCAACTTTCACATGGGTATTAATCTGGCCATTTACCAAAATTTGGATTCTTAACAAGACTTAAGAGGGAGAGAGGAAAACAAACGGGTCAAATCTATTTTATTATATGAACATTTTGATTAAATTACAGATTCTTTAATAAAATTATAATGTCTGAAGTGAGTGATACTTGAAGAATCAAAATTAAATAATTGTAAAATACTGTACAGTAGATTAAATGTTGAATAAACATATAATAATAATAGCATATGCAACTTTCAAAAGACAGCATAAGTAGTTTTGAAAGCTGAATAAGTGCTTAAGTTAAACGACAAAAGTTTCAAATTGAGTTAAATTGTCAGTGAGTCAAACACAATACCTGTGATGCTCTATTTCTCTGAAAGGAACATAGATCTTCATAAATATCATCATCTTGTGTTAATGATGAGTAGTTCTCATCAATTTCACCAAACTCTCCATACTGGCTCTCACTAACCAACAAAAAACATGGCAGTTATCATTTCATGCTGGCTGCATGCATCAAAGGTAGCAGATACTTCACAGTTACATAGTTAAGTTAAAAAGCAGACAGTCTTTACAGTCAAATGCTCTAAAAACATAAAACAGTTTTTTGTAGTTCATTATAAAACAACTAGCCTAGTAAAGCAAATTGCCATAATACAAAAGTGTATATTTTCCCATAAGCATCAAAAGTTATGCAGGGTGGAGTTTGGGGCATGCTTCCCAAAAAAATTTGAACAATTATAGTGACAAATTGTTAAGCCTATTTTGATTTAGTAAAGGCCAAGGTTTGTTAGAAAAAATAAAAAAGTACATAAAAAATTAATATGAAAATAAACAGCTTGATGACCAACTTATACGACCTTCTGTTTCTCATGTTAGTCTCATCATTCCTTTGACCCTATCTTCAGCTATCAAATTTGTTTTATAATTTTATTTGTTTATAGTGAATTTTAATTTTGAACCAAAATTCCAGTTCAAACTGAGGAAGTGGTAAATATATCTAAAAATTATGAAGAGCCAAAGGGGTTGATGGCCCCTGTTCCAACACCCATATTCTTCACTACAGTTTACTTCTCTGTGTTGTTTGTTACACGGATTTTACAAATGGAATTTATGAACTTTCATAATAAAAGAAACATATAATCATGAATACTTCATCTCTGTGTCTTCATGCTTAAGATCAGCCTACACTAAGCACATGCAAAATGATGGCTAACAAAAAGTACAAAAATGAAACAAAGCAGAGGTCCATAACATCATAATGAGAGTGGCTCTGAAAAAACAAGCAACATCTAGCAAAATATGCATGCTACATCACATGGAGACCAAAGTACTGAAAGTATCACGTTGAGCACCTTTACTCCAAGCGAATACCTCATTAAGCCTTAAAGTCACGTAGCAAAGGTCTTCATATATATCTTCTTCATGAGTTCTACGTGGACTCAAGGGAAAGTCAAACGGCACCATCGTATCCTCATTGTGACTGAAAGAAGGGTTCAGAAGTGAAGTGAAAGGTTCAGACAGAAATTTACCATCCCTGATAACAGTTTTGGGTTTCCTCCATTTTTCTTACTTGTACATTTTATAAATGATTTCCAAAAAAAAATCTACTTCAGCTGGACCTTTATAGCATAGTTTCTATAATGCAAGTACATCCACACAGTTCAGTATTATCTTTAACAAAGTTAGTGGAAACTATTTAAGAATCAACTGTGTATACACACATATACATTTACTACAAATACACAAAGATAAAACATCACAGAGAACTACAGATTATGCTCTTTTTTTTTTACACATTTTGATAGGAATACCATTTTCATAAAATTTCACAATAAAAAAAAATATTATAGAACTCTAGTGCATTTAACAATGATTTTGTCTTTGTTCCTGATGAAGACAATTCCACCTGTCAAAAAATCAAAGTTGGGTGTAAAGTTTTCACTTTGTGCAAACCTCGAGGCCGAGACAATTCATTTGACACCAACTAAAAGTTGGTGAGTCCTGCAGTTTAGAAGAAAGGGTTTTTGCAAAATCCCCAGGTTGCCCAAGAGGTGGGTTTAAAAATTTTACCTTTTGTCATATCTCTGGCTCAAACAATTCATTTGGTAACACTTAGAAGTCAGTGGGACCAGCAGTTTAGGAGGAGTTACATGACACACAGATACTGAATCTTATATATATATGTATGCATGTGTGTGTGTGTGTGTGTGTGTGTGTGTGTGTGTGTGTGTGTGTGTGTAGAACTAAATGAGAAAGTAAAAGGAAATAAAGAGATAGTTAGGGTAAT